ATCGAAACCAAGTTTCTCTTCGTATCCTACATCTATCCATGTCTATCCATTTTCGTTTTTTATTTATGATTACATGTAAGAATTAAGCTATAGCCGGACAGCCTTCTTGACTTGGTTTTGGTTAATGTGACAATTTGATAAGAATGATGATGTTCATCACATGATGGACGAAAGCTCAGACAGTCTTTCTCTGAAACTAGGAAGGATGTCTCGTGAGTTGCATCAGCAGGAATGCCATATTAAAGTCAACCGGCTACAGTCGTCTTCTGATGATTTCTATTTTCTAATCTCTTCTTCATGCACTTTCATACAAAATAAAAGTATCCCCAACAATTGTATTTCGGTATATTCATAGTAATCCAGTTTCTCTTTCTATCTTTGAGCAGACGTTGCAGTACGATATAACACTAAGTTACAAATTAATAAAATATAATACAAAATACTATATAATGCAATGGCGTGATATATTAACAACAAAAAACAGCAAAAGTTAACTATTTCCTTTAAAATGTGAACTACCGTTTTTGCTTTGAGTAGTTCTCGAGACTGCCAACAATACCTGAATAGGGAGTGTTCGTCAGTTCCAGTCGGTCAAGACGAACGAATGACTACTTTAAAATGTTGTAATTGTCTAGGTTGTCCGGCCAGTGGTGATTCCAGCCTCGACGTTCGATGTCATGTCAAGCGGGGCCGAGGAGATTGCGTCTGACGACGGAGAGGCCGTCGTCAATGGGGACTCGGACTCGAGCCAGACCAGCTTGGACTCATTGCTGGGCCTCTATCAGGCCTACGGCGACGGAATGGAGTCGGCTGAGATTCTGGAGTGCCGAAGCCGACAAAACAGTGTGACGAGACCGACTGGAGGCGAGTGGATGTTGCGAAGACGATTCAACATCATCTCGCCAGTTGCTGGGCGAACGAACTCGGGCGAGACGGAGGATAGTGAAGGAGATTCGGAGGAGGAGAAAGAGAAGAAGAAGGAAGAAGAGCAAGAGACGGAAGAGGAAGGGAAGAGCCTAGTTCCGATGTCTCAGAGCGAGACGACCGTCGAGTCGACCAACATAGGCCGGTACCGCCGCGACAAGGTCGACCGGTACCAGGAGTTGGCAGACGTCTGGCGTCTGCGTTACCGAAAGGCCTGCGAAACACGCGAAGAGCGAATCCGGCGGCCCGTCGTGGACCGACTCGAGGAGGCGTGTCGAACTGGCGTCTTCAGTCTCGCCTATTCGCAGATCGGACCACGCCCATTCAGGCCACTGGCAGACGTCCTCACGGTGAGTCAAACCGCGAAATGGTGCTCTTGCAGACACTGGTCCCCCACGCCCAAGTCTGTGCACAAACACACACAAACGCAAGCACAAAAGACGCAAATCATGGGGTTAGTTGGGGCGGGGTTAAGGGGCGGTACCGGAGTGAGGAGTGATGTGGACAAAGCTTTCATTTCGTGGGAAACGGCGGGTAAAAGGTTTTCGTAAATTGACCTGCCTCAATACAGAATGAGGATTTGTTTGGACTTGTGACTGTTGGATTGTGTGAAGACGACCTCAAATCTCCGTCGAGTCAGGCCGATCCATCCGGGCTGAACTTTCGTCAGAACAGGAAACCACCATCTACGGACAACCCCAAAAAGGCACCAAACCAAGAAAGGTGGTCTGCTGAAAGTATACTCACTTCTTACAACCAACATTGCGATCTTAATGATCCCTTCCATGATCTGGTGGGTTGGTTACG